CTCTTTCCCAAAAGCTTTCTCCAGTTAGACTTCAGGTTATATTTCACTGGCTGCAAGGGAGTCCCGTGACCTTGGCCGTATGCAAGGGAGTCTAGGGTGTTAACTATTTTGAACTGGGCACATTTACTGCCCTGAACAAAATCCAGGTCCCATCAGTAAGGGAGAAAGAGTGGATATTGGGTAGGCAAGCAGCAGCCCCTGCCACATTGCCTCTCCAGGTGGGGTCCAATTCTCAGCTTTCCTTTCTCTCGTGTCTCTCTTGAGGACACACTCAGCGTATAAGCGTACTCCTGCAAAGCCACAAGTCTAACTCCAAGTCATTGTACAAGTAAGCCAGAGTTTCCAGACTTTGCTAAAGGCCTTTCTCTTTCCTAATGTCCTCTGCCTCTATATCTCCACCCATATGCTCACATGCTCACCTTCTCCTTCACAGGCTTCCTGAAATTCCCTCAGCTTATGTCCGTGACTCAGCAGAACAGAAACTGTCCAGTTCTCAGCATTCATCCCTCTGGCAACTCCCAGGAAGCCCTCCACTCATCATGCCACACTCTGAACAAGAGTCTTGGTATTCTCCCTGAGAAGGAGGTGGCTCTGGAGGGAGGGGATGCCATGGCTCAGTGATGCAAAAATAAATAAATAAATAAAAGAAGCTAAGAATTTTGACCAAAAGCCTGGTTGTCTCAGGACTCTTGGCAAACTCCCTCCCCAACCCTGCCGCAGGGTCTGATATGGGAGCTGGGTCAGACACTGCTCCTAAGAAGTGGAGCAGATGAGGCCATAAGCACATTGCTAAGATGCCCCAGCCCCTGTGCTTAAAAGGAAGCTTGCCCAGCTCATCTCAGAAGGCAGCCAACAACCTGCCAGGCAGCTCCCAGCCCAGAGCGGAAGTAGAAGCAAAGACACTAACATCCAAGAGCCAGCCAGACCCCAGCTGCTCCCTCCCCCGGGACAGAAATTACTCACCTAACCTCCATTTATCACTCACAAAAGGTATGTCAGGCACTGAGTCAAGCACAGGACATACGTCGTCTCATTCAATCCTCACAACCCCTGAAACGGGGCTATTAATATTATTATGCTTCCCATTATACAGATAAGGAAACTGAGGCTTAGAGAGACTAAGCGTCTGTCCCAAATCAGACAGCTGCTAAGTGAAGGAACCAAGATTCCAAACCAGCCCGTCTGACTCCAGAGCTCCCACTCTAACCACTGGGCTTCTGGCCTCAATTAGAATGTTAAGGAGGCCCCTTCTTTGCCTCCGCATTGGTTCTATGGAGAGTGTGCCCACCCTCTTTTCTTCCTCCTCCCTTTCAGGTGCCTTCTTCTCTCACCACCTGCCCCCAGCACAGGTCACTGGGACCCTCAAAGGGCTTGGACATGATAAGAGTGAAGCTTGCAGGAAGAAAACAGACATTGGATGCCATAGATCAGGGTCCCAGCGCCAGCTCCATCACCTACAAGCTGGAATCCCCTTACATCCCCGGGCCACAGCTTTCTCACTAAAATGGGAACAATGCTGGTAGTTTCTACATCACAGGGTTGATGTGATGATTAATCAAGGTGCTGTAAGAAGAGGCCCAAAGTCAGTTCTTCACAAATATGAGCTTCTTTCTCCTTTCCCCTCTTGGTTCCCTTTGGACAGCGTCTTTATTGCATCCTTACATCTAGAGAATTCTACTAATAACCCTGGTGAAAGAGGAAGTTGAGGTGCGATGATGTTATAAGGGCACAGATTCCTTCTCCAGGCTGGCTTCTCATAGCTGCTCCATACGGTTGCTGAGAGGGTTCCTGAAGGCTGGGGTGAGAGTCTAAGAAAGATGTCATGACGTGGCCAAGTTCAGCCCACAAAACAAGTCCTGTGTGGTCCCACAGATCTGTCTCTCATAGTGTTTGCTGTTTGCTTCCGTTAAAATTATTTGTCAATATTTAGAACTCAGGACATTTCATATAAGATCCAGGTTTCGGGATTCCCTTTGAAAAAGATCTGGCAACAGTAGGCCCACAGGCTTTTAGGCACCATCTAGAAGCTGCCCGCTTTCGATGGGTGAGTGGGGTGTACTCTGCAGTTTGCTGCAGTCCCCACTGTTCCCTATTGTTTCATACCATACTCTACTCACCAGGCCCAGAACCCTTTCCTGTGGGTTGTAACCTACTGCTGTCTTCATTTCAGAACCTGGCAGAGAATGACATCCAGAAATTCCCTAAGCTCCGGGTGCCGTAAGTACACCCCCTCATTCCTTGGGTAGAATGGGGAGTAGTCCAGGGGGAGCTGAGTCAGGTATCTATCACTGTTGGTTTGAAATAGGAAAGTGAGGAGGAAGGGTGAAGGCAAGGACAGGGTATAGTGAAGAGAAGTTACAAGATGACTTGAGAAAAAGAAATAACAGGTCTAGCCCAGCTGGTGTATTGGCTGCTTTTGCCAAAGATAAGCCTGACTCTGGACCACGTTTTCATTTCCTCTCTTCCCAGTGGGTGGGTTGGCCTTTGAAAATAGTACTAGAATCAAAGATCTGAGATTTCCTCATGGTGTCATCACCAACTCAGTCATTGCTTAAGTTTTCTGGACCTCAGTAAAATGAGAGAGTTGGACCCGATGAAGGATGGCAATGAACTTCCTTTTGTCTGTCAGTACTGACTGTTTGGAATGGCTGTCACAGGCATCGTGTTGAGAAGAATTCTGAGGAAAGGGGGGCCATTTCTTATGTGTGACATGGGTGCTGAAACGGGAAGTTGCAGTGTGCCTATTGTACCATGTGTTTTCTGTCCCTCAAGTAGGACCCCTACACACAAATGCTTATAGGAGCCAGACAGCTAATAGAAATGGGTGAAATGGGTCAGGTTGAAAAATACAAAGCCCTATCATTTTCCGCCTTTGAATAAAGCATGGATATGGAGAGCTATTTCTCCACTGTAAGAAAAATAATAGCACGATTATGATGATAAAAGAGGTAATCAGCACAAAGCCTCATTGTTGGTGAACAACAGGGAGTGGTGGAGACTGTGGCAAATTGGAATCATAGTCTCCATCCAAAGGGAGCAGCAGCTACTCAGCTCCAGTCAACGTGGACCCAGTGATGCCCAGTCTTCGAACTTAACAAAAGTAGCAAGAAATATCCGTTTTATGCAATGTATCTCAATTTTTAAATGTTGCTCAAATATTTTCAAATATTGTAAATGCCAAAGTGAACATATCTCTGGGCTACATTTAGTCTGGGGGCCACCAGTTTGAGATCTGTACTCTAGACATCCTCTGTGGTCCTTTCTCTCGCTCTAAAAGTCTCAGAGCTCACAATGATAAAAGGGAAGTAAGTCAATGAAGTAGGAGGTTGAAAAGTCCCATGTGTATGTAGACTGCCAGAGTAGCTCAAATAAGGAAAATATGACTCTCCAGTTTCCCTCATTGGGAAGGGTGAAGAAAAAGAAAGGAAAGGAAAAGGAAAAAAAAAAAAAAATAGGAAAAAGAAAGGAATAAGGATTTGTCTTTGTTGCCGCCTATCTCCAGGGCAACTATTCTTGAAGAATCCTCGTTCTTCTTTAGAGTTTTTTCTAGCCGCAAATGGCTATTTAAATCTAAATTAAATTAAAAATTCAGTTCCTCAGAGGCACTAGCCACATTTCAAGGGCTCAAAAGCCAGATATAGTGGTGACTACTATATTGGAGAGTACAGATGTAGAACATTTCTATAACTACAGAAATGTGATGCTCTAGAAAAAGACCATAGTTCCATGTAAAGGAGAGACCTTAACATACAGGAGTGAGAATTAGTGGCTGGTGGGCCAGAGTCAGCCTGCAGACAAGTTTGGTACACACAGAGTTTTAAAATCAAGAAATGGCATTAGGAAAGACTTTGGGGAAGAAAGGGAACTTAACCTGGATCTTGAAATGCATTAGGAGTGATCAGATGAAAAATGGTTAAAGGACATTCTAGAAATGGGGACTATATTGCAAAGGCATGGCACCAGTGCATTTACTGGAACTGCAAGTAGGTCAGAGCAGCTGTGGCGTATACATGGGGAAGTAAAAAGTAAAAAGACCACAGTGACGGGTCACAATTCTGAAGGATGCTTTGAGCCGTTCTAAGGAGTCTGAGAGTGTTGGTGACGTGAGTTCACCAGGGAGAACACTAGGTAAAACCTGCATCTTGACTCTTCCGGGGGCATGTAAAAGATGATTCAGAGGAGGGCTCAGCTGGAGGCATGGAACCCAGTTAGGAGATGACGGCTATGATCCCACTATGAGATGGGAGCTTCTCCTAGGCTGTGGCTATGAAGATGCTGGAAGGAGGGGATTTAATCAGAGAAATAGAAGAAAAGAGATGAGGCAGGCACTTTTAACTGGGAAGATCCTTTTTAATCTTAAGGCTGAGCTCAGCTGACATCTGTATGTTTGAGAGCCAGGAGAAGGAGGTGGCGTGAGAAGCATCTGCTAGTTAGTGCAGAAGAACTATTGTAAACACTCACCTTGGTGAGGTAGAGGTGTGGGATATTTCTTCAGGTATTTGAAAACTTAGACAACTTAGCCTGCAGTGAAATCCCACTCTGATGTCCTTGAATGTGTGCCCCAGACAAGCTATGGGGCCTGCCCATGGAACACGAAGGGTGAACGTGGGGAGTGATGGGGAAGGCATCTGGGGAAGGTCTGGTCTGCCCTGATTAGGTGACTCTGATAGTGACCATCCCTGGCATAAATGTATAATAAATGCCAATTCCATCTCTACTTCTGTGAGCTCTGTGCCCGGGATGAGTCCTAGACCACCCTCAGTTTCCAAGTCTATAAAATGAAGGAATGGGTTACATGAACTGCATGGGCTCATTCCTTTAAAGGATATTATTTAAGATCTGAACAGGCAGACAGGAGAGCTTAGTGAGTAAAATGCAGGCTCTGAGGTCAGACAACTTGAGACTAAATTCTTCCATTCACTAGCTGTGAGTCTGTGGACAAGTTATCTGAGTTCCCTGAGCCTCAGTTTCCTCATCTGTAAAATGGGGACAATAATAGAACATATCTCAAAGGGCCAGTGGGAAAGTTAGAGTAAATAATGTGGAGATAATAAAATGTACTGAAGATGTGTTAGCTATTCTAACCATTTTATGCAAAATTCCAATGAGCACAATTTCAGATGTTTACTAATTATTTTATCCTGCTAACTGGGGAGGATGAAAGAACAGAAAGGCATGGGCTTTGGAGCAAGGGAGATCCAGGTTCTAAGGCGGGCTCTGCCTCCTACCAGCTGTGGGACTCAGGCAACCTGCTTCAACACACTGAGCCTCAGTTTCCTCATCGATAGACGAGAAAAGAAGGAACTCTCAGGGAACGGTGTATATGAAGGAGACAGCCCACATAAGTTGCCTGGCGCCGTCCTTGATGAATAGAGGTAGACAGTGCTTATTTGTTCCATTCCCTTGTACACAGGTTCGTTTGCCCTAGATCATTACCCTAAAGGGTTATAGAAAAGAAATTGTGTTTAGGTACAGTAGACCAAAACAAGATGACACTCCTCTGAATACCTCAATTTCCTCCCCTGATGCTTAAAATGTCAGTACTAAATAGATTTTGTAAGCAGGTAGGTTCTGGCGAGGAAGCATTCTCTGTCTGAAGATATAGTCACTCTGTCAGGACACAGTTTCTCCCACAGACATCAAGGAGAATGTAACGGAGGAGGGTTTCAAAATAAAACAACGTTAACATCCTTTTAGAGGACCTAGCCTAACACCAATGGTATAGCTGAGCGTGCTCTGGTTAAATTGATAGAACATGTGATAAAATCTGCTGATGACCATTTGGAGTTTTTTTTTTTTTAATGCTATAAGTTTTATATTTAAAATAATATAGTGTAACTTAAAAAATAAGGAGAGGGCAGCAATGTGGTGGTGGTGTAGGCAGCACATAGGCATTGGATGATTCTGTTTATAACATTAATGCACACTGTACCCATTTACCGATAGAGAAGTTAGGCTGGGAAAAGCTAAGATCCAATCAGAGAGGTAATGCAGTCATGCCTGTTGATTTGTCTGTCTTCTGATAAGGCTGTCGGTCTCCTAACCTCAGAGACAGCCTCCTGTCTCATCTACTCAGTGCCTACCTAAGATAGAAAGACAGTAGATGATGGCGGGGAAGGATGGAGGAGGGCCCCAGGGCTGAACATGACATTCTTGTGCCCATGAAAGAATGTGCCCAGCCCCCAGCAGGATGGAGACAGTGACAAGGTCCCTCTCTCACACGCGCCTCCCCGCTCCCATTCACTGGCTAATCCCTGTCCAGCTGCCCAGTCCTCCCCACATGAAAAGTGCGTCCTCTCCACCGACTGCCACCCCTCTTCCCCAGTGCGAACCCAGGACACTTGACTTCCGGCTCAGCTCCATGTAAAAACCATCATGGGACCTTTGACAAACACTTCCCCAGCGCCTTGCTTTCCTTGTTGGTAAAAGCGGGGATAATTCTTCTTGGCTACTACCCAAAAGGACTGTGAAGCACAACTAAAATAAGGGCGGAGGACATGCCTGAGAAGTGCGGAGACCCTGCTGTGCCCTCAAATTCTTGTTTTCCCCCTCACGTGCCTGGCTCTACACGGAGGCCTGAGTCCTGAGACCCATGTCCTGGCATCTCCCTGGCTTCTCAGGTGACAGGACAGAACTTCGGAAGGTTTGGTTCTTGGTTCAAAGAGGCTGACTTTTTTTTTATTTTAACATCTTTATTGGAGTATAATTGCTTTACAATGGTGTGTTAGTTTCTGCTTTATAACAAAGTGAATCACCTATACATATACATATGTTCCCGTATCTCTTCCCTCTTGCGTCTCCCTCCCTCCCACCCTCCCTATCCCACCCCTCTAGATGGTCACAGAGCACCGAGCTGATCTCCCTGTGCCGTGCGGCTGCTTCCCACTAGCCATCTATTTTACGTTTGGTAGTGTATATATGTCCATGCCACTCTCTCACTTTGGCTGACTTTTAAAGGAGGAGTTTTGTTCCTTTAAAGAAGGGTGACACGCAGAGCGAGCGCAAGTCTAGGACTGAGAATGTGGGCTGGGAGGCGGGCCAGGGGTCACAGAGGTGGTGTCAGAGGACAGAGAGGCTTTGAGGAGCCGGAGAGGGCAGCGTGGAGCAAACGCAGACTTCTGCCCAATTCTGGGCGTGGGAGAGACCAGCGTGCCCCTGAAACAGAGTCAGGGGAGCAACTCCCCGCCTCCCCCTGAGCCCCCGGTCTCGTGGGAGACAGGGGAAGCTCATCTAGAGAAATACATTTAAGTTGTGTGCTGGTACATGTGACAACACAGGCAACAAAAATAGAGTGTTCACGAAATGATATCGGCTCTTACTGTGTGCTGTGGGCTCTGATAGTTTCTATTTGCTCTGTTTCTTCCCTCTCTCCCTCCTTCCTCCCTGACTTCCTTTCTGCCTGCCTGCCTTTCTTTCATAGCTTCCTTCTTGCTTCTGTGTGAGCAGCAAAGTTGACTTCAAGACCCTCTACCCACAGCTGCTGAAGTACACGGACCATTGGAAGGGAGCCCCAGGTCTCCTGGGAGAATCCTACAGGGACCACGTCAAGACAGACCCCGTATTCTGCTCCTGCTGCCCTACCTCGCTCGCCCTCCTCTTCCTCCGTCTCCTTTTCCTTGTCCTCCTCCTCCATTTTTTTGTTTTTAAAAAACAATTCCAGGGGCTTCCCTGGTGGTGCAGTGGTTGGGAGTCCGCCTGCCGATGCAGGGGACATGGGTTCGTGCCCCGGTCCGGGAAGATCAAAAAAAAAAAAAAAAAAAAAAAAAAATTCCAAGAACACCAGAATGACAGGAGTGATTTCACAACCTTTGCAGACGGTAGGAATCACCCATTTTACCAGGGTGCTTGTGTTACTGCCACACCCCACCCGCATCCCGAGGCATCTCTCCTGGAGGCTCCAATGGGTTATGTCACCAGTGGGCTTAGTGTCTGTAATATGTAATCTCTAAGGTCGGGCGATCAGGATTCTCTAAGTAGGGCCAACCCTCTGGTTTTGCTGATGAAGAATCCAGGCCAAGGGTGGGGCAGGCAAATGCCTTGCCTGAGGTCACACTGCCCTTGGGCAGGGTGCTGCAGTCAAACTCAACAAGGACCCACCGTCCCACCCTCCGTACCTTCTAACATCACCAGAAGAGGCCTTCAACTGAGAAGTCAAAGACCGGCCCCCATCACACAGCAAGCTAAGGGATGCAGCAGGGCTGCAACCCAGGTCATGGCAGGATTCTGTCTCCTGCCATGGCCTGACTTCCTGTGGAAAATTTCGCTGCACTTCTGGGGCTAAAACAGAGGAAGCAGAGACAACTGGGTCTACCAGCTGCCCAGTCCCCTCTGCCTTTCCCCCTGGTGCTGAGTATGGCCTGGGGTTTGTGGGGAAGAGGGGGAATGAGTCACCTCTGGCCACTCACTGTCACTTGGTCCTCTGGGGAGGTGGGAGTCGGGAACAACCTTGAAGGTTTGCACACAGAGGTGGCAACAACCTCCTGCTCTGTCCACCAGCACCACTACCCTCTGCACTCACCCCCAGCAGTGGTCCCAGCTGGCTGGGAAGGTTGCCCTGAGGCCCCCCAAAGCAGGAGGCCCTGGGCGCCCGAGTGTGCTGCAGGCTGGGCTGCCAGCCCCTCTCTGGCTCTGCTTGCTCTCAGCTCTGTGCTGCTCCTCTGTGTGGTCTGTGGTTTGACATTTCCTTCCTTCACCAGTTAGGAGCCCAGCAGCTTCCAGCCTGGCTGCTGAAGATACCAGTAAGCTGAGGACCTGCAGAGAGCAGGAGGTCTTTTCAGGATCAAAGCAGCTGTGCGAGCCCTTCAGGGCCTCCCCCTCCCCCCTCCCCCACCCCCTCCTCCCACTACGTTCTGCAGGGATGTGCTGCCCAGCATCCCCCAGTTCAGGTCTTGCTGAAAAGTCACCTCCTCCCAGAGGCTTGCTCATTTTCGATTGCACCCGCCCCCCACCTATGCACTCCTTCCCCCCTCACCCAGCCCGCACCTCTGCTGCATGTGTGTACACACAGCTCTCATCTAGAATTTCACTTCCTTAAATGTTTGTTGTTTATTGTCTGTCTCTCTCCGCTAGCAAGTAAGCTCCTGGAGAGCAGGGATCTCTGTTTTGTTCACTGAGGCACCTTGAGCCCCAGCAGAGCTCCTGGCACTTAGAAGCCCTGGAGTGCACGCTGTTGAATGAAGGTGTGACTGAATGGGGATGAGTGCTGCAGCCATCACAGACGCAGCTGGCCAGGGTGTGGGACACCGCACGTCAGGGGAGGGAGGAGAGGGACTCCCACCAGCTTCTCAAAACCATCGCTTAAAGGAAGCAGAAGAACCAGGGATGAGCGTTCTGGAGGTGTGATCAGGAGGCCACTGGGAAGCCGCATCCCCAAGCATCTCCCAGTGAAGTGTGAAGTCCCAACAATGACATTATGATGGAGGATTAAACGCTGCCCTCTCTCCTCTGTCCTCTAAAGTTCCCAGTGGATTTATTAACAATTCGTTTATCCTGTCACTCTAATGAGTTGGAGGGTTCCGAGCAGCAGGCCCCGGGGAGCAAGGAGAAGTGGGGGGCCTGGGGGCCTGGGGGCCTGGGGGATGATGGGGGAAGCAAGAAGTGGTAGATGCCAAGACATCTTCTGCTAACTTAGCAATTTTGTTTTAGGCCAAACTTGTTACCTTGAGGTGGTCACTTCAGCGGAAGCAGTGTAGACCCCGGGTCATTTCCAGAGGGGCTGCAGGCTCGTTCACTCCCAGCGGGCTCTGGCATCAGGGCCATGGACACGGGATGTGGTGTGTTGAAAGTGTGCTGCTCTGGAAACCAGGGAGCCTGGCTTCTGGGGCTGGTGCGTGTGGTGGGGAGAGGGTGGCCTTCATCACTAACCCGCGGTGCGGGCTGGTCCCTTCCCCCGTCTGGGTCTCTGTGGTGCCATCTGTAAAATGATGTTGGACTAGATCACCTCTGAGGCTCCTCCAGCTGCCCCAGATCTCTAGGGAACATGAGGCTGTTTACTGATGAGGGCTCCCTTGCTCACAGCAATGGTGCGAAGGGAGGCTGGAGCTTACTGCTAGGGCGTGCCAGAGGTGCCGTCCCACTCACAAAGGCCCTTCTTGTCCTGGGGTTTGGGGATTTGCTAGTTTACAACATCCAAGGAATAAGAGGGTCCTGGCCAAGGGTGGCCTCCGGGCATGGGTGATTCAGGGAGTCTCCCACTCTGCAGGCTGGGCCTAGATCGGGAACACTTCACCAAGTATTTATAAGAATCCATGTCACCAAGAAGGAGTCAGGGAGCGGAGAATGGAAGGAGATTTCAGACCCAAGAAGCGCACGGGAGCTCTTGTCAAGAGTTATGCAGCAAGCAGCTGATTCCTCCAGGTCTTGGAGATGGTTTGAAGATTCTTAGAGGTTAGATATCACTACAGGGATGCCAAACCTGGAGTCAGGGGACCTCAGCCCCGGGGAATACTAACACAATAAAATATGCAGCGGTCATATCCAGATCATAAGGCTGCAGGATTGCAGAGGAAGAGGAGACAGGCGTGAGCTGACCGGTCTCCACAGAGGGGCTCTGAGCTAGACTGAGGCCCCAGCAGAGAGCTTCCTGAGCAGGGACTGGTAGGGGGATGGAGGTGACAAGCTCTTCAGGAAGCAAGGAGCAGAGGCCCCACGGGGTGGGGGACTGGATGGAGGCCAAAGGAACAGGCTGGCCAATACTGGCCCAGGTTCCTGAGGTCGCACAGATCAGGGAACTTCAGGGCTCAGTGGGAGGAAGTTTGGGCCAGCGGGGAGATGATTGTTTTGTCACCTGGCCTGTCCCTTTATCTTGTAGGATTCTCAGTAAGTTAAGTCAAGAAATCAACAAGAATGAAGAGAGAAGGAGCATTTTCACACGCAAGTGAGTGGGGCAGCTGAGGGCCTGGTGTCACTTTAATGAAATGCAAGGAATTTTCAAACCCAAGTCTAACTGTAATGGGATTCACGGGACTGGTTTTGCCCCCATTTCTGATCTGCAGTGAACCTTCAGTCCAGGGGTCCCCCCCTCTCTGCCCGGCATCCTGCCCTGTGTCTGGGACATCAGGGGAACTTCCCCTAGAGAGTCAGACAGTCACAAGCTCCCAGTTGTGCCACCAACATGGCTTTGGTGGTTTCCAGAATTTTCGGGTAGCCTGACCCTGGTTTCAGAGCAACAAGGACCGCGGTCCTGGGTGGTGAGACATACCCTCCCCTGGGGGCTCCCCTTGCAGGGCTGGACTGAGGAAAGAGGGAGATCTCCCTAAGTCAGTAGGGCCATTAATGCAATGCTGTTTGTCTTTACAGACCCCAAGTTCAGCGTTTTCCTGAGGAAACAGGTAAAGGTCTCAGGGGTGAGAGCAATGGCTTTAGGAGGTGACAGGCGCTTTGGTTCTTCTGTCTGCTGGTCCAGATTGAGGGGAGGAGAGATGTCACTATGCTGGGGTACCTGGCTATGGCCCCTTCTCAGCTGGGACCCTCTGCAGAGTCACAGTGAGGGACTCTGTGGGGTGCATGGAATGACCCGGGCCGGGCTTTGAACTGAGCACCTAAGCAGAGCCAACCCTCCTGCTTCTGAGTCTTTAAAGCAATTATTCAGTTGTTAAATTGCACATCCTGTTAAAATGCAGATTCTTGGGTCCCACTCAGTCCTGCAGAATCAGAAGCTCTAGGAATAGGGCCCAGGGTATCTGCATATTTTAAAGCACTCTCAAGTGACTTTTATGTATGTGAAAGGTTAAGAACCACTGCCTCTGTCTGGCAGAATGAGCCCCTCAAGTAGAAATTCTAGAGCTGATACTGAATTGTTATCCCCCAGGTATGTAGCATGAAGGCCTGGCATGGGGCAGTGGTGGGGAAGGATCCCGGAGTGGGGAGCGGCTCTGACTTTCCTTCTTGCGGCTTCTTTTGGTACCAATGCTGGTGTTACCCTCTTCCACAGAAAGCCATGAAGACAACGGAGGCTGGTCATCCTTTGTGAGTATGGGGTGGGCCGTTCTTCCACCTTACAGCTGTTTCCAGAGTGCCTTTGCCATAAGGAACCAGCATGATGCTGAAAGAAGCAAGGCCTGATAGAGCCACCCAGGGGTCAGATGATGTGCTCTGTGAAGGCCAGAGCCTTCTAGTAACTTCCTGGCTTTGCGATCCACGGGGTCTCTGGCCTCATCTACTCCCCTCTGCCCTTGCAGCACGAGAGCAGCTGTAGACGACACCTGAATGAATGGGCCTGGTTTTGTGCCACCAGCCCTTCACTTGACAAACGACAGACAGTGGGCTGGACTTGGCCACGGGCTGTGGGGTGCTGACCACGCCGTCATCCACCGTGCACACCTCCACAGCAAGGCCCTCCCCCAAACCCCTCCTCCACATGGTCTACACTAAAGTAGATTTAAAGTAGCCTTTCTCATAGGCTTAAGTGCCCACCGGTGACCCAGAGGGAAAGGGAGTTCGGAATTAACTATCAGCCCTGGAAAGACCTCAGGGATGGGCCGATCCAACTGGGTTTTATATTTGAGGGGTCATGATGACGCCTTTGAGAGTCTGATGAATTCTGCACATCTTGTCCCCAGGAAACTGCATATGTAGTCACCACGCTTGAAGCCAGACTCAGGCTAAGAACTCCATTACGGCTCGTAGCCCAGTCTGCTCATTTTACAGATGAAGCAGCCGAGCCCGCTGGAGAACGTGACTTATGTAAAGCCACACGTCTAGTTAGAGGCAGGCCAAGGACCCAGGTCGCCCACCCTCCGTGCAGTGGTCTTTCTGGTAAGCGGCTGCCTCTAGTGCCTTTAGGAAGCAGGCACTAAACATGCCTTGTCCTGCTGGGATTCTGGTAAAAGAAAGCATTGAATTTGAAAAAAAAAAAAAAAAAAAAGAAGTGCTAGCTAAGTCTGTGCTTTCTACATGAGAACAAAGGAATATGACAGATTAATTTTGTTCCAAAGGGAAAATAGATCAGTTACCCCCCAAATGTTTACATTTTTAGGCAGAAGCTGCATCTTTGCTGCTGCTTGCCATGCAGTCCCTCCCATGAGCTCAGCCTGAGGCCAGCCACCTCCATCTTCTCTGTAAACAGGGAGTCTCCACTAGCCACTGGCTACAACATTTGGGCTTCCATGAAGTGCCCAGCATTGCACAGGGCACTGGGGGCGGGGCGTGGAGATGAAGAACCCAGTTCTATGAGCATTTCATAGCTTAGATAACACATACACAGGGCAGAATATGATTAGGAACAAAAACACACACAGAAATATTCAAGTCAAATCACTGGGAGAAAATAATTTTTCTAGAAGCTGAGAGGAAAAGTCTATTGTTGAGAAGGGCTTATGGGGTAAAGGCCTGGTGGAAAGTCAGGAGCCACAGGGCCGGGATGTGCAGGCTGAGAGATTGCAGGGAGCCCCTGTAGGTCTAGGGGGCAGTCCGCCAGGGCTGCAGAGGCACTGAGGCCGTGGTTCTGAAGTGCCTCCCGTTCATCAGGGGTTCCATCCTCTGTTCTCAAGTTATAGGAACACTGATGGCAGGACGAAGTCTCTTTTGGAGTCCAGGAAGGTACTCAACCTCGTCTTCCAATATTAGAAATATACATATTCTGCCAATCAAAAAATTAACACATGCATCTTTCACTTGAGCACCTTAGACAGGCTTCCTTAAGCCACCTAGTAAGGTTGTCAGGATTTCTAGGCTCTCAGTGTGCACCTTTCCTCGCCAAGTTGCAACCTCCTGTTGCTTCTTCTTTCCACGCTGCCCTTGACTTTAGAGAAATGCCCTGGGCTCATTTAGGACCCACTTGACCTTGACCTGAGAGTGATGAGCCAGTCATTTCTTGGCAGCTGATGGTGCCACTTCTGCCTGGGAAATCATTACTGTAACTGTCCACTTTCATGGGTTGCTTCAAAGGCAATCACCCAGCCCCTAGGGCTTAATTTCCCTGAGACCCATAGAGAAGCATATGTAAAACACAATAAATAATTTAAAATTTAGGAAGAGTCTCTTCCAAGAGAGCAGCTTCACACTCAGTGCCAGATGTCACGAATAATAAGCTGTTGTTTTTATACACTCAGCTCTCAGCAAAGGGAACAGCCCAGCCCTGACTATCCCCTCTCAGGCACAACTTAACCTGCCTTCTAGTTAACAGGCTTTGGTTATCTGGTTTCCCCATTAGGGAAGAAAGTTTCGAGCACAGGCACCCTAAGAACAGAACTGACAATTAACTAGGGGCATCACAAACATTCCTGATGTTTAGTCTTCCTCTTGGCAATGTCTGGAGTAAAAAACGTGTTTACTCAAAACAGCGGGCTCTCCCATCCCTCTGTTCCTGTATCCTCCTCGCTTGTTCTGCTTTTCTCTGTTATGCAAAAAAAAAAAATGTAGAGAACAATGCACTTGCCTAGCAGTCTGAAGACCTTGACGGGGGTCCCAGGTCTGCATCTTGCTGGCCCTGGGACTTTGTACTCCCTGAGCTCAATATTCCTCATGTGTAGTGGGAGGGCCGTGCTAGTGCTGACTGCCCCCAAGTGAGGACCCCTGTGAGGCTTGGCAGAGAGAGAGTAGATGCTGGCACGCCTACTGCCCAGGGACCTCTACACACCGCGTTGTCCCCATCACCGTGTTGGCAGGAAGAAGATGACTATGAAAGTCCCGATGATGATCAGTATGGGGAGGATGACGGTGACTATGAGTCCCCCAATGAAGACGAAGAGGCCCCCACGGAAGATGATGCCGATTATGAGCCGCCACCCTCCAACAATGAGGAGGCTCTGCAGAACTCCATCCTGCCTGCCAAGCCTTTCTCCAACCCCGGCTCCTTATACATAGGTAAGGGCCCTGGCAGCCCAGGCCCCATCCCCCACTGATGTATGGGAGGCCAACGCCCATGGAGCAGAAAGCTTGGCATGCTGATGCCAGCTAACCTGCTGTGTGGCTTTGGGCAAGTGACTCCACCTCTCTGGGCCTCAATTTCCTCATCTTTGAAATAGGACAATAACAATACAGACCACATAGGTTCGCAGTGAGGATCAATAATATTTACGATTTGCGGACAAATATTTATGATTGCAGACAAATCATTGCTGATGATGGATGATACTGAACTGCCAGTTAAGGGTATTTGGAAGTAATAGCTTATTTTGAGTGTTACTTTGGTACTCAAGAGGACTTTCCTGCTCCTCCCCATCTTTGACCAATTCATGATTAGGTGGCACCACTACCCACAGACTGTCAGAATAAATACAACAATATTGAATGTGGTTTGGCCATAACTTTAAAATCTTTAAACAGTATTCAAGATTTTCATTGTCTATCTGCTCCTGTCAGCCCATTTCTCCCTCATTCATTTATTCATTCACCCATTCAACAAAAATTATTGGTCTTCTATTATGAGCCAGGCATCATTCTAAATGCTGAAATTTAAAATCATCCGGAAAGAAGACACAGCCCTTGCCTCACAGGGCTTACACTCTAGCAGTGGTGGTAACAGAAAGTAGGCACATACACACTTGCATAATATCAAGGAGTGAGCTAGAAAGTTGATGATCCATATCACAAAAATTAATACCACTAATCCTTTAGGCTGCATAACACGTGGCAATTTTAAAGCCCTTTCATGCTTTGTCGACATTTCATTTTGTGTTTTGAAGCACCCTGCGTGATACAGGCAACAATTATCAAGCCTGTTTCATATATAGACCCTGAGAAGAAACAGGTAACTAAGTCGTTGAGTGCCTCATACATGCCAGTTATGAGCATACAGAATGAACGAGATGGTAGACAGGCCTCACCCTAAAGGATTCATAGTCCAGGCAACATCAAACAAATGAGTCACAAAATGACTTAATTAAACCATGATATATACTCAGGAAGACAAGCGCAGATGATGAGGCTGGGACATATGCCTGATCTGGACTTGCTTCCCTGAGGATATGATATTTAATCTGAAACTTAAAGGGTGAACAGGAGTTGGCTAAGTGAGCATAGATGTGGGAAGGAAAGAGCATTCTAAGCAGTAGAAAGGGCCGTGCAAAAGCCCTGAGGCTGAAAGGAGCATGACAGGTCAGAGGAGCTGACAGGTGGCCAGAGTGGGTGCATTGGTATGAGATTAGACCAGGCTTGCTGGGTTCTGAGCCCCATTCTCTGTGGAAGAGTGTTGCTTCCCCAGGACTGGGGCTAGGGTGAGGCAAAATAGGCACCCAGGGCCCAAAATGTAAGAATGCCGTCACTTCCTCACAGTCCTGGCCTGGCCTTTCCCTGTCAAAGGGATGGAACACTGCCAGCCTATCTATCTGGCCGGGGGATATTTCTGTGATGAGCAGAAGAATGTGAGTTTTTGTTAAGAGTCTGTGGTTTGGTTACAGGAGTCCGTGACTGGCTCCTCCCTTTTAGAAAGGAGGAAGTGGGAGGGGGGAGGACAACCCAGAGCATTTGTGAGGGGAAGGAAGGGGACCTAGAACAGGATCTTCAAGAGCCATGACAGTGGATTTCACCTTGCCCAGGCAGCTGGGTGAGCCTGAGTGTATGTGTCTCTGTGTGTGTCTGCGTGTGCATGTGTGTACATAAGCATGTGTGCATTTGTGTGTCTGTACACGTTTACTTCTTTACAATTTTGTCTGAAAACACTCCCTCACGGTACTGGCTGAGTTAATTACTAAGAGGCCTTTTTTCATTCCTTCATCAACAAAACCTCTGATGAATACCTGTTCCCCAGAGGTAAGGTGAGTGTTGCTCCGAAGTATAAGAGTAAGACAAACCAGGCAGGTACAGAGAAGGCGAGGGGCCAAGGACTCCCCACCCTGTACGACCCAGGTGTGGACACATCCCTGCCATGCTGGCTGGGGCTGGCCTTGGTGCTGGGGGGAGTCTGTGGGATCCAGTGATGCGGAGATGCCTCCAGCCGGGCGCTGGATGGGTTCCTGGAGAGCCCTGGGTGTGGCCCACACTCGCCTAGATGTAGAATTTCTCCTTTCATTTTAATGCCTTTGCATTTCCACAGACCGGCCCCACTCCGGGAAAGTGCAGCAGCCGCCCGTGCCCCCGCAGAGGCCGATGGCCGCCATCCCTCCTTTGCCCTCCGGCGGCCGGGCTCACTCGGTAGGCTCCATACTTTCTGTTATGCCACTTTGTGTCCACTCGATGATTTCCTCTGCAGAGAGAAAAAACTATAGACATCTTTATCCAATTCTAGCCAGTAAGAAAAAGTTATATGTAGGCCGGGAAAATGCATTCCCAAGCACTCACAGTGGGCTTTTTGGAGGATGAAATACTAGTGATTTTTATACACATCATAATGATTTTATCATCGGTATTTTCTCTTTACCATAACAATATAAGCTATTTGTATAATAAAAAGTCCTCTTCTAGTATTCATTGTGCTATTTTTTTGACTTTTGAAATAAGTGAAAACTGTAAAATAAACTAATGGCACCTGCTAGTATTTGGGTCCCCAGCCTTCCCTCCTGCAAGAAGACTTGCGCCACCTGCTGGCCAACATCTGAAATTCCACGGACAAAAGGTTTGAGACCAAAACGTGCAATGCCATGAAGCCACGGAGACAGAGGCAGCAAACTCCCTTTCCTCTCTCTTCAAGCTTACAGTTTCAGATCCCGTGGTTCTACTTAACTAACAGGCACACCTCGTTTTATTGCATTTTGCTTTATTGCGTTTCACAGATATTGCATTTTTTTTACAAATTGAAGATTTGTGGCAACTCGGCCGTGTCAGATGATGGTTAGCATTTTTTAGCAATATTTTAAAAGTAAGATATGCACATTGTTTTATTAGACATAATGCTATTGCATACTTAATAGACTTCAGTATAGTGTAGATGTAACTTTTATATTCAATGGGCAATAAAAAAATTTGTGTGAGTAGTGTTAACGAAAATTCGATTAACAATCGAACTAAGAAGAGAAAAAGAGAATTTTATTTGAGCCAAACTGAGGATTATAACCTGGGAGACAGACTCTCAGAAGCTCTGAGAATTGCTCCACTGGTCAGGATCTGGAGATTCAGTTTCATACATTTTTGAGACAAAGAATCATGTATCATATTGACAGGTTAGTATTAAACACAAAGTTCATCAGAGATGTTTTGGTCAGGGGTGTACCTACAGAGTGAGCCTTTAGGTCAGTGTGACTCCCTGACAGGATGAGAAAGAAATAGTAACCTTCAAAGTCACAATGGTCGTTTCAGAAGAAAGGTACCATTTTTCTCAAAGTTTGTTTATATCCTCCTGCCTTGAGGAGGTCTGGTTAATGTATAATACAAATGCACATTGCACATTAGGAAAGGCCCATCACCAATGGAGGCATATTATATGTGTTTCAGTTCTGACTTAGTTTGATTGGCCTGTCATAGAGAAATTTATGATTTTTCCTCATCACTAGGCTTCTTTTGATTTTTGCTTTATTGTGGTGGTCTGGGACCGAACCCGCAATATCTCCGAGGTAGGCTTGTATCCAGAGAGGCCCGGAGAAGTTCAGGATCAGAAGTCAATAGTTGGAAATGTGCCCTCTTCACAAAGGACCAGAGCACTTTGACAGCTGTGGTGAATGCCAAGTGTCAGGGCTAGAAGGAGGGAGAGGACATATTTTCCCCAAAGCTCAAAATCCAGATCACACCACAGTTGGGACACCTCATCTAAGAACAGATGGCTTCCTCCTGCTTTTGCAGTTTTATTACAAAGGCGGCTGGCTCATGGAGCTGAATTTATCTACACATGCATAATCTGTAGCGCTTCACCTCACTCTTGGGATGCAGAATTCATTCATTCAATCTACAGACATTTATTGAGCCGCAGTGCCCAGCAGTGTTCTAGCTGCTGGGAATAGAGTGTGAACAAGACAAATAAGATCCCTGCTTTCATAAAATTTTTATTTGGGTTAGGGGTAGATGGATGATAAACAAGCATAGAGATGTATAAACAAGGTAATTTGAGTAGTAACGTGTGGTTAGGGAGACAGAAGACCAGGGAACATGATGGTAGGTGGGGAGGTGACCTTGACCTGGACAGGATGAGCCAGTTGTGGCGAGAGCTGGGAAAACAACATCCCAGGCAGAGGAAAACACAAGTACAGCGATGCCAAAGAGTGCATAAGCTTGAGATTTTGCAGGAACTGCAGGAAGATACTTATGGTGAGAGTCCGGTGGGCACTGGAGAGAGGAGCGTACAAAGGTGTTGGACAGGTGGAGAGGGGGCAGCTCAGGCAGAGCTTTGCAGGCCATGGTGAGTTTTAGTTTTGTTCCTAATGTGATAGGAGCAACTAAAAAGCTTGGCAGGGGAGTGACATACAGAACACACTCTCACAGTGTGTGGAACAGGGAGCTCAGTTCAGGTGAGAAATGGACAGGTATATGTGTGACTGGAACATGGGGATGGAGAAAAGTGAACAGCTTCACACCTATTTAGGGGGATAAAGCCCTCAGGGCTTGCTGATGGGTTGGAAATGCTTCCTAATACGTGGATTTCTTTTAAAGCAGCCACTACCGCCACCCCAGCCCAACCACGAAGAGCCTAGCAGAAGTAGAAACCACAAAACAGCAAAGCGTAAGTATAGGGGCTGCCCTCTCTTGCCCACCAGTCCACCCACACCCCTGCCCCAGCCGACTGCTCTCTTCTTTGAACTGACTTCAGTGTTTCCCTTTCAGTCCCTGCCCCTTCCATAGACAGAAGCACGAAACCACTCCTAGATCGTTCCTTAGCTCCGTTTGACAGAGAGCCCTTCGCACTAGGTTGGTATCTTTTATATTTGATGCATAGTAACAGTGGCCAACATTTATAGAGTGCTTACTGCATGCTTTTCACAGGGACCATCTCATTTAACTATCCCCACAATCCTATGAAGTGGGGGCTATTAGAATCATCCTCATTGTACAGATGAGGAAACTGAGGCATGAAGAGGTAACTTACCAAGTTTACTCAGCTACCAAGTGACGGTGGGGTGGGGGGGGAAACCCAGACTCAGAGAAGCCTGAGGCAGAGCTCCTGTCCTTAGCCCTGTGCTGGGCCTGCTTCTCCATGGGTGCCATCTGTGTACACACATCCATCCCATGTCCTCCTGAAGGAGGATGGGGAGGCATCTGGGCTAAGAGGCAAGAGGCCTGGGACAGCTGTTGTCGGCTGCCTTGGCTGCTAACTTAGCAGCTCACTGGCCACAGGGACGTTGCTTTTTCAGAGCTGTCTCCTTATTTGTAAGGTGGGTGCTCTGTAATGAGAAAATACTTTATAAAACTCTAAGGTGCTATTCAAATGTCAGAGTTGTCTTTTGTTGTATGCGTGGTTGATCAAACTGCAGGTATACTACAGTTCTTTCCTCCAGAATTGGCCCAGAGTACCCTTGGATTGCAGTTACCTCTACATAAAGCTATTTTTCATCCAATTCTAAAACTTAGCTACAATTTATTGAGCACCTACTATGGGTCAAGTGCTTTACTTACCACAAATAAGTTACAGTTGTCTCTCAGTATCCGTAGGGAGGATCCCTGGATCCAGGATCCCTGTGGATATCAAAATCCAGGGATACTCAAGTCTCTTATATAAAATGGTGTAGTATTTGCATATAACTTACGTACATCCTCCCGTGGACTTTAGATCATCTCTAGATTACTTATAATACCTAATACAATATAAATGCTAAGTAAATACCTGTAAATGCAACATAAATATATGTACATAGTTGCCAGTGCATGGTAAATTCAAGTGTTGCTTTTTAGAACTTTCTGGAATTATTTTTCCAAATATTGTTGATCTGAGGTTGGTTGATCCATGGGTGTGGAACCCATGGATATGGAGAGTTATCTCTACATTATCTCTAGTCCTCACCCCAGCCCAACAAAGAGGGAGTATTATCATCCTCACTTTGCAGATGATAAAGCTGAGGTTCAGAGAGGTTGAGTAAATTTCCCAAATTTGCATAATTAGGGAATTGCAGGATTTGAACCCAAGTGTTTCTGACTTCACAGTGGGTGCCCTTTTCCACCACATAATGCTGCAGTTGGAGACACTGGATTTTCCTTGCTGTGGACTAGGGAGTTCTGGGCAAGGAGCCCTGGGCCTTGAGGGACAAGGAGCCTGGACCCCCCGGCCCACCCCAGCCCTTCCTTAGCTTCCTGGCGAGCAAGGCATTTAGCCTTTGTGGCCTCAGTTTCCTCTTTTGTCGGCAAAACAACTTTCAGTTCTTGGATTTGATGCTGCTGCTTGCTGCTGTTTCTCTGAACTGTATCACAGCTCTGCCGACTCATGCAAAGCTATGTTGGCTATCTGAGTTTAAAATGGCCTGCTGCAGAGGGCTGGACAAATTACGTGAAAATGAAGACTGAGAAATTCGACCTCAGACTCCAGCCCTGCTTACTGCCATGAGGCAAAGCATCAGAAAAATGGAACACTGATGTCAAATCCTTCAGCGTCACTTCCTGAACAAAAGTTACCCTTTTAAAATATTTTTATTTATTTATTTTTTTAAAGACACCTTTTCTTGACAGTACCAGCTCTACCCTTGAATTACTCCCTTATCCGTGATGTTTTGGGAGAATTAACCTCTTACAATGCTCAGACTCTTATCGGGAGACTCCTAACATGCCCAGGGAATATGCATAAACCAGCAGATGTTTTTAAAAGAAAACCTATTCATTATAATGATATAATTTATATCATTATATCTAATGATATAAATTTAAGTTTTCTGGGTACCCCTCTGAAGTGGGGTTTCCACCTCAAACCAAAATTTTATAAATAATGAACATTTTTTTATACCACCCAACTCTCTCCCACTGGTCAGTGAGCTCTTCACAGTGGAACAAGATTCTTAGGGCCTATCATGAGCCAGGGATGTATTCAGTCTTTAAGGAATAAATCATGTTGCGAAAATGCAACTCCAGACGGATGTATCACCATTCACCCTAGGGTGTTAACTGAGCTGGGGTTGGAGGGAGGGGAAGAAAGAGAAGCTGTCTAACAATTGTCAGCACCCATGGGTCATTGCCTGGCCCTGCATATACACTGTCACCTGATCCTTACAGCAAATCTATGCAGTTTTAAACTATAATTCTTATAGCAAACCTATAATTCCCATTTTACAGGTGAGGAAATTGAAACTCAAAGACTTTAACTTGCTCGAAATCATACAGGATTTGCTTCTAAACCTGGTTGAATCCAATTAATTAGTGCTTTTATTACATTGAAGTCATAGGGCATATCTACTCAAGAGGACTTCAGACAGAATAAAAAAATACATTGCTTTGAATAACTTTGCAATGCAGAGTTCTCAGGTGTGCCTAGTATTTCTTCAGGGAGCCTGCATGTCATCTGTTCCAAGAGAAAAGTAAAAGGAAAAAAGGAAGGAAGGAAGGAAGGGGAGAGGGAGAGAGGGGGAGAGAAAGAGAGAGAGAGAGAGGAAAAGAAAAGAAAAGGAAAGGAAAGGAAAGGAAGGAAGAAAGAAAGAAAAACAAAAACAAAACAAAATGATTTGCAGCCCACCAGGAGAATCTCCTGAAACCCTGTACCCCAAGTTTAAAAAGTTTCCAGAAACTAAGTGTAATACCTTACATAATGGCACATGTACCAGAGGACTGAAGGAAAATTAACCCCTCCATGGCAAATGGGTTTATTTCAGATATGAAAATAAACTTAGGCTGTATAAAGAAGTTCTGGACAAATGAAAGAGACATAAAATCTCAAGAGGGCATTAATCCTTTTCATCTTCAGTTATATTAAAAAAAAAACTGGAAAGAAGCACAGAACCCACAATACTGTTTGTATGTACACAACACTGTGTGACCCTTGGGCAAAGTCATTTAATTTGTCTGAGCCTCTAAAATTAGGTGCTCTACTGTAAGGGACACCTCCAGGTCTAAAGTCTATGATTCCTCAATGCTAAAACCCAAGCAGCCCTCCAAGAGGCTCGGACTCAGGTTCATCAAACAATGTTTTAATGCTTAGCTTTTAAACTCAAGGCTTACCTGCTGTTTGTCACTTACAGGAAAGAGACCAGCTATTTCTGACAAGGTAAGCTTTCTCCTTGTTTTGTTTCGTTTGTTTTTGTTTTTGTTCCGTTTTGTACCTTGTCTTTATCCTGTGGAAAGTGCTGAGGACACTCACACATCTTCCCTCCTGTCTTGCAGCTCTCCGCCCCAGCGGGAAGGTGAGTGGTTCTGGGCACCTGCGTGAGGGTACGTGGCACGTGTTGTAAGACTCTGGTTTGTTTCCCACACATCCTTTCTCTCAACTCTGCAGGCCTCTCGGGGAGCATTTACCCAAGATACAAAAGCCCCCGTTGCCACCAACCATGGAAAGGCATGACAGAAGCAGCCCCCTGCCAGGGAAGAAGCCACCTGTGCCAAAGTAATTGTCTTCTGTCGCTTGAGCTTGTCGTGCAGAGGGGGTGACGTGAACTCCTGCCTCATAGAAATAGCTCTGCATAGGGACCCAAGACCATGGTGCTCCCGGCTGGGAGTGGGCTCATTTTGCTGCTGGGGCTTGAGGAGTGTTCAGACTTCTCAGGTTGGATGTAGAGTGCCTGGGTCACTTGGAAGGACGTGGCAATCTAGCACAGAGAGGCGTAGAGAGATGCTTCCTTAGGAGCACAAGAATGACTGCCATTTGTGGAGAACTTCTCCTCAACCAGTCAGATTTTTGGTTGCGTTTTCCTTCCATCACAAGGCGTAGGAACTATACCTACCATTCTGTATTTCCATATAGGCAGCAGAGAGGAAATCACTGTGGGAAGTGTTAGGTCACTGTTAGTGTCTTCCTCACTGCTCAACCACGTTTTATGGTGGCAGAATACCAAAGTCAGTTCTAATATTTCTAACTTTACTCTAGAGTCTTTTGGGGCCTATTTAGCCAATGGCACAAACATAACTGGGGTCGGGCCCAACTCTGCTCCTTACTAAAGACAAAAGCAAAGCTTCCGTTGACCTCACCTGTGCAATCAGGATTCATAACTATGGCCCTTGCTTGGCCAGTGTGAGGACTAAATCAGGGCCAGGGTCAGGGTGCATCAATAAAACCTCAGTAACTGAGTTAATATTTTAATGGACTATTCTAAAAAATCAAAATGAATGTCAAAAATATCATAATGAGTGCCCATCATCGGATGAATGGATAAAGAAGATGTGGCACATATATACAATGGAATATTACTCAGCCATAAAAAGAAACGAAATTGAGCTATTTGTAATGAGGTGGATAGACCTAGAGTCTGTCATACAGAGTGAAGTAAGTCAGAAAGAAAAAGACAAATACCGTGTGCTAACGCATATATATGGAATTTAAGAAAAAAAAATGTCATGAAGAACCTAGGGGTAAGACAGGAATAAAGACACAGATCTACTGGAGAACAGACTTGAGGATATGGGGAGCGGGGAAGGGTGAGCTGTGACAGGGCGAGAGAGAGGCATGGACATATATACACTAACAAACGTAAGGTAGATAGCTAGTGGGAAGCAGCCGCATGGCACAGGGATATCGGCTCGGTGCTTTGTGACCGCCTGGAGGGGTGGGATAGGGAGGGCGGGAGGGAGGGAGACAGAAGAGAGAAGAGATATGGGAACATATGTATATGTATAACGGATTCACTTTGTTATAAAGCAGAAACTAACACACCATTGTAAAGCAATTATACCCCAATAAAGATGTTAAAAAATATATCATAATGAACAAAATATCAAAGTTTTAAAGAAACACAGGATGAGATGACGTGAGGCATCCGACAGGAGGCGTTCAACAAATCGTCCTCCTCGTGTCCCTCTCTCTAAGGAGAACATGAAGCGGGCCCAGGCATCTGTGCCCACCACAGCTCTAAGGCCGCTGTCATCAAATCTGTTTGACCAGCTCGTACATCAGGGAAATGTCCCAAAGCAGCAGCATTTCCCAAATTATCTTCACTTCACACGAAGGGTGAGCCCCAAGATGGCTGTCTTAAAATATCGACAAAGGAGAATGTTTCCTAAAAAGTTTTTATTTGCTTGGAGAAACATCTACTCAGTGAAATTTAATAGCTACTAAGAGTTAGTTTGTTGATTAAACATTTTTTTCTTTAATGTAATGATTTGAAGCAGTAGCTAAACAGAACAAGGGTTGTCTAGCTCAGCTCACAATGAGGACAGAACATTGAGTCACCAAACCTCCCTCTCCCTTGCTTTCCTGCTGGGGATTTTGCTTCCCATTTTATCACGGCTCATGGGTTTGATTTCTTGTTATTAGATTAGGTGAAACTATCTATATTCTTTGAAAGTCCTTATGCTCAGTTCTTTTCCTTTGCCCTGATTCATTTCAGGCATGGATGGGGATCAGACAGAAGAGAGAATGTAAGTACACAATGTCATGTGGTGAATGCTTGGCACAGGGAAACCGGTATAGGCTCGGAGGAGGTCGAGGCTACCTCTGCTCTGCCTTCATTGAAATCCAGCACTGGGAGCCAGGCCTGCACACAGTAGGCTCCTGAATACCACTGCCTGGTGGGGCCTCCATCTTCCCCTCCTGCCCACCATGCTGCATTGCTTAACTCCTATCCCTCCGAAGGTTCCTAGGGAGGATGCGTTAGTCTCAGCCCTGTTACCAGGTGGTAATTAGCAAGATGAAGGGGCAGTAGGTAGAAGGGAGAATAAAGGGAGAGTCTGGGCCTCACAGCAAAGTTTCCTAGGCCTCTGTTTTCCCCTTTAATACCTCCATGGCCTAAGAAAGAGGGGAAACAGCATTCATTGAATGCCTACTATGTACATGTTACCAACCTAGCTACTTTTGACAAGCTGTTTGCCTGGGACTTGCCCAGTTTTAGCAATGAAAGTCTCACATCCCAGGAACCCCATCACTTTCAGGCAAACAAGGACCAGGACAGTTGGTCATCCCAGCTTTACATATGCTTTGCATTTAATGTCCCTGTGAGGAGTCACTGTTTCTCTTTCACTAAGAGGAGATGGAAGCTTAGAAGAGTAAGATACTCGCTGTAAGTTGCACAGCTAGTAAATAGCCAGGGTCGAAATCCAGGTCTGTCTGATTTCCTCTATACTGTAAGCTGTCTGAAGGCCATCACACCCCTGCCATGTTCAAGGGCTCAGCCCACAGGTGCCTGGTGTTTCACAGCTCTGTGCTAGATGCTGTGCTAAGATACGATGGAGACAGGCAAACCCGCGGACCACATGCTAAGGAGCATATGATCACAGAACGAGCTACAGAGGCGAAGGGAAGAAAGTGATATATGGGGGTTGAGGAGACAAGGGTGACTTTTAGAGATGTGGCCATTGAATGATGGGAAGGACACAGGATAGATACCCCAAGAGAAAGCTCAGTGCGTTCCAGCCTCAGGAATGTCCTCAGCAAAGGCAGGTGAGTGGCGAGGGCCGTGGAGCCTGTGGGGACGGTGAGGACAGCAGTCTGGCTGCAGAGCCATAGGGACAAAGAGGAGATAAGGTTGAAAATGAGGGTGACATCACATTCCTGAGGTTCCCTATCTCTGGAAGGACTGACGCTTGTTGTCATGAGAATCCAGAAGCCTTATATTTTGGACCAGAGGAAACATGGTTGCAGAAGTGTCAAAGACCAATTTCATTCTGGGGATTCTCTGAGTCCATGTGTATTTATCTACGCAGCCCTTTGCTGGGACTCCTTCCCAGTTGGCCAACTGGGATGAGTGATTCTGGCTATGATCCTTCTTGCCTCATCTCAGTGGTAGGACTAGAGACAGCAAACTTTACTGAGCGCTCCACATATACCAGGCACAAGTAGTAACTAATTTGATCCTCACAACACTTGAGGAAGTTGCTCTTTCACCACCACTGTGCTAGCCTAACAAAACAAGTCCAAGCTGGCAATTTTGGTCGACTAGTCAATGGCAAAATCATTCTTGCCTCTCTGAACATCATTTCCTATCTGAGGAGTAGAGCAAAGAGCCCCTCCCTTATCTATTTCAGAAGGTTGTCCTGAAGATAAATGTGCTGAACCAAGCGGACACACCTTGGAAGCTATTTACGAATCAGTAGGGTTGCATTGCTTTTAAGAGGAGCGGCCATTGCAAAAGAAGGTTAAGCTTTGGGTCAGGCAGATTGGGTTTGAATCAATTTCTGTAACTCTTGGCAAGTTACGAATCCCTCTTGGGTAGCATGTTTCCATTTGTAAAATGAGAATGTTAAATTCTTGAAGGGTTGCTTGAAGAACTGGATGAAATATTGTATATGAGTCTTTGGGGCACATAGTAGATATCATCATTATTCGCGTATCTTTGGGCCCTTTTAGACACCTCAGAAGCTATTTTATGTTAAATATATAAAGAATGTCTCAGATTGGAGTGTCTTTAAATGATCGTTTGTATTAAGAAATCATAAATTATTTAGCCAGTTTTACTGTTCTCCACAGTATCTTTATTATGGAGACACACAACTGCTAAAGAAAGAAAACAGAGACATTTCTATGATTGAGAAATACCGAAATATAGTTACTCTTTGAGAAATTGTGTTTTGATGATAGATTAATGTCTTTTTTTTTTCTTCCCCTTACCAGGATGAAGATGATGGTATGTTCAGAAAGGCTTTCTTATAACTTATAACCCATTCTTTCATTTTTCTGCTCAGGCATTCAGATGGAATTATATAGTACAGAAACTCCATAGAATCCATTATAATTGTAAAATTAGTATTAAGTAGATGTATGTCAGTTGGTATACTGCATAGTTATAATAAAATGGAGTGATTTGGCTGGGTTACCAAAGAGAACTGTTAAGTTCATGCATAACAGGGCAAATTACTAGTACAGCAAAATTGAAAATTGCATATGTACAGTTTGATAGAAAACATTCTAGTATTTATGCTCTCTAATGGATCACTAACTGCAGATGAATGACATAGCATAAAATTTGGCTTTCATAAAACAAAACTTGTGGATCTTTTCTGAAATTCATATGGTTTCCAACTGACAATTTTCTGCCAAGTTAACATTTCAAAAATGAAAAAAAACATAAAATAAATGTGTATTATGGAGAATGATATAGAATGGCAGCATTTGAAACTGCATTCTAAGGCGGTAAATCATCTAGAAAAACCTTGCAGGGGTGGGCTTCCAACCTACCACTTCCTAATGACATTTGATCTTTTGGATTTTTGTATCTCCCTTTAGACTAGCTATTTCTAACTGGGGAGCAGTTCTGGGATGTTCCTGTGACACTTGGATCCTGACAATCTGCTTTCTTTTTTCTTTTCCCCCGAAGTACATCAGAGATCTCTGCCCCAGCCAGCACTGCTCCCCATGAGCTCCAACACCTTCCCTTCAAGATCTACGAAGCCATCGCCCAAGCACTCCCTCCCATCAGCTCACCTGCCCGGAGCCTTCTCAGAAAGGTTCGTGCTGACGTCATTCAGTTCTAACCTAGCATTACGTCTGGGGCCACCGATACTGAGCGAATGTTGGGTGGGTTGAGAAAGAAAGAAATGAGCCACTGGTCATAGGGTCAGAACATTTTGGGTCTTAAGAAACAAAACCAAGCTGAGCGTAAAGAATCGCATATGTTAACTCACTGCTGTCCTCTGAGTCTCTGTGCTTGCGGGTCGGAGGGGTACAGAATTGACTGCCCTGTCATGGCCCCAGACAGAATGGACTCTTTGGTGGGAAATAGGGAATGTTTTCACTCTGTGAGTTAAAACAAAGAAACAAACACTCAAGAAATCCAATTAATTTAATTAGTTGGAGTTCACCCTGCATCTTGGATGGGAAGACTGAGAAAACGCACCTTGTACCTAGCAGATGGGGAGAATTCACTGCACAGGTCTGTTTTCTCAGTAGCAAGAGTGTTTCTCAGGGTCCACGATTAGGCAGGCTGTCAGAGGCAGAGGCACGGACAGGAGGAAGACTCAGGTCGTGTCTCATAAATAAGCCGTCGGGCTGCCTTGCAGTGCCCCCGAGGGTTCCTCCACCAGCACTTTGGGCTCATCTTCTTCACCATCCAAAGGGAGAGGCTCAGTCCCCACCCTAATGATGGGAGAAAACTCACCCACCAGCAAGACCCCTCCACCCCTGCCAGATATCTGGAAGGATTCTCAATATTTTTTCATTTTCCCTGGGTGCCTCTTGCTCTGATTTTCTGCTGCTTCCTCTCATTCTTCCAGCTGTCTTCCTTCTTCTGCCATGTCTGTCATTTTCTCATGCCACCTCATCCCACCTGGGGCCCCAGCCCTATCCTTCATTCTTACAAAATAACACTCACACGAGATTTCTGAGCAGAGCAGACTTTTACAGAAGGTTTGGGCTAAAGGCTAGGGAAATTGCTGCTCAGCGTGGAGCAGACAGCAATTCGGGGCCTCCCTCAGGCCCTCGTCACCACCACCCCAGCCCCCAGAGATGCTGCTTCTGTCAGCTGCACCACCACCGCACCCTCTGTGTGTTTCTCGCCTCCCTAACCTCTCCTTATAAACCCCTAGGCCCTGGGGATGCACCATTCCCAAACAACATGCCCATTTAATATATTTTCCTAACTGAAAGAGAAGTCCTCTCCCCAGAGGACTTCTGTCTTGATGCAAACTCAAAGTCCTCAAACTGCAGCTGACTTTTTAAAGTAGCTTTTAAAGCCCTTTACACAGTTCTTTTGTTGCTTTTGCTTTTTGGCTTGAGAAGCTTGTTAGACTTTGGCATGGTCCATCTCGGGACAGCAGTGAAGTCCAACAAGTTCCTTCTCTTTGCCCTGCTTCCGTGGATTCAGGGAGGGAGTGGGAAGTAACAGCCAAAGAAGCGGCATTTCCCCAGTCCAGGCTCCCCCTCTGGCCCCTTAAACCTAACCCAACTTAAAATCCGTTCTTTTTCTGTCTCCACAGCAACAGTAGTTTTTCGCAGAGTGCCTCCCTGCCGCCATACTTCTCTCAAGGTTTGTACTCCGGGCTCTAGTGGTCCACTCCAGCCAATATGCCAATCATGACTGGACGGCCAACCTGTCCCAAAGCCTTTGGGCAACGGTTTTGTTGTTTCCTAAAACTATCCGACTTCCTCATTCAGCCCTTAACTCAGTTTCTGCAGTGTGCCAGAGGCTGTTGGAGTGATAGGATACTACACAGAACACCACAGACACACGCGCGCACACACACACACACACACACACACACACACACTTCCTCAGGCAGGCAGCCTTGGCCTTCATCTTCCCACATAGAGCTTTTCCTCCCTGCTGTTTTTATATGGTGCTTAGGACAGTGTTGGCTTTCTCTGTAGTTTTGGTTTCTATAATGAATCTAACCTGGAGTTGCTAGTTGAGGAACAGGTTAAAAATACAGTTTAAGAGACCCCAGGCCCCAAGATTCTGATACAGTAAGTCTGGGTGAGGACCTGCATTTTCAGTAATACCTCCTCTGGGTGTCCATGATAAGTATTTGCTGAGAGTGTCCTCAGACTTTAAAATGCATACAGATCACCTGGGAGTTGTGTTAAAATGCATATTCTAGTTCAGTGGGTCTTGGATGGGACCCGAGGTTCTGCATTTCTAGCCAGTTCCTGTGCCATATGCTGGTATTGCTGGTCCATGGACCGCTCTGAGTAGAAGCAAAGACCTAAAAGGTAGGACTAGACTGTGTTTATTTTTTATCCTTAAAGACTTGCAAGTAACTAGCACATGGTAGGCACTTAAAATATATTTGTTGAATGACTGACAAATGACTATGGAAAGTCACCCAACTCTAGTAAACAGATTTTTTTTCTCATGCTAGGAAACTCACCTAGTGTTACCAGATTTTCTGATTTTTTTTTCAAGAAAAACTGGAAATATGGCTTTTAATGTGAAATTACCCAATTTTTAAAGATTGACTTAAGACTTTTAAAAGTCCTGTGAGGAAAAAACAAAACACTCTTTTTTTTTTTTTATTGGCCTCGTGGTACACATACAGGAACACCAGTACTGTATGTGTTACAAATAGAAAACTACTTTAGTAAGTTTAAATTATAACTCAAGAGTAGAACTTTTTGAAGGAGCACATCTATTACATTCAATTGGGTACATCATCCCATGTATGTGTGAGACCCTACTGCTGACACCAATGAAATCCACTACGTTTTCAATGTTTCCTAAGCATTTGAGGATATAGTGTTCATATTCACTATATGGCTTCCACAGTTCCTCCACACACCCCTCAATTTTCCAGTGTCCACACTCATTATTTTGTGAACCTACATTGTGTTCCTTGCCTGGCCCCTGCAGGCATCTGAGCTTCAGACACTTCACTTATAGCAGTATCTCACAAAGTGAATTCCACAGACTTCTATGAGTTGGTGATGGGGATTATTAATATAAACAGTTGGTTAATTTTTTTGGAATAGAGTCGTCCCTCTAATATGGGAGGGGGATTGGTTTCAGGACCCCACAGATACCAAAATCCCAGGATGTTCAAGTTCTTTGTGTAAAATGGCGTAACACCATCAGACCTTCACATCCACAGGCTCCACATCCACAGATTCAACCAATCTGCAGTTGATTGAATTCACAGATGTGGAACCTGTGGATGCAGAGGGCTTACTTTACTACCTTAATCAAAATTGAACCCTTTTCTCCTAAGAGTACCAGGACACCTTGTCCTCAATCTAATCCTCCACTGGCTGTCCCAAGGTCAGGAAGATAAAGGATGTGCTGTATATTGTCCAAACCCTTGAGGATCTAGATGTTAAGGGTGGTGGGTGACTGCAATGAAAAGTAGTATATTGTCTGTCATGAATACTGACTTTGTAGTGCTAGCCTGCAGATGCAGAAGCAGAAAGAGAATAATTCCTCAACTCTAAAACAGCCATGCACTGTAAGCCTTGATTACACTACTTTCCCATATAGCTAGATTTCATTCATTCAACAAACATTATAAAAGTGCCTGCTGTGTTGGACTGCAAAGGTAGGCATGCGGAAGGTCTGTTCAGGTACTTGGAGCCTTAAGAAGGAAGATCAGCAGCTCAGGCTAGCCTGATCTGCTTATTTAGAAGCGGGGAACCTCATCTCTAGTAGTCCAGGTGACATGGCTGGGAAGACTCTGGCTCTTCCCAAGTAACTCTCCTCTGTCAGTGGCCCAGGGGCAGGCAGTTTGCCCCCTGTGGTGTATTGAAGATGGAGTAACAGCCCTGGTGCAGAACCAACTGGAGTGCTTGTTAAATGCATATTCCTGAGCCTGGGTGATACTGGGTCCCCCTGGAATTCTCATTTATGCACAGTAAAGTTCAAGTCCTGGCGCTGCCACTAAAAGCACATGCTTTATTTAGACTCGCTGAGCCTTTGTTTCCTGATATTCAGAAAAGAAGATAATACCCACCTTGCGGGGCTGCTGTGAGAATGACAGGTAGCATACACAGGTGCCTTACTCAGGGCCTGGACAGAGAAGTGCTGAATAAATGTCTGTTGAATGAACAAATGAATGATGCATGAATTATTAAGAGAACATTCAACTCACAGAATTTCCCAGCCTTTAACAGCTGTTCTGGCACACAGGAGACAGCCTTGGCAATTATAAATCAACACAATCAAACCTTTCCCAAAACACATTCTCTTGGAAAGTTTCAGGGAACTGTCAACAAGAAAAAATGGTGTTAGAGAAGGCAAAGCACAAGTGCTGGGTAATTTATAGAACCCAATACAGACTTCCGGATTGATCAGATAGTTGGCGGGGCTTTCTATGGAAGTTGAACCTTTCTACCTCTGTAGAAAATTTGGTAAAGAACAGCAGATAGTAAACTCTGGTTCTAAAAGCTATAAATATTCTTAAGGTAACTTCACCTCATCTTGGGTAACAAATTTCTTATTGTGAGAATATAATTATTTTATCACCACATTGTCATAACATGGGTGGTATATATGTAACGTGCACAATGAAGCAATCACTCAAATGTGTGGTAGTGTCTCAAAATTTCACCGGCCTGTCTACAGAACAGCCCTGTGGTCTCGAACAAGTGACATTTTTTTTTTTTTTTTGGCTGTGCGTTATGCAGGATCCCGACCAGGGATCGAACCTGTGCCCCCTGCATTGGGAGCACGGAGTCTTAACCACTGGACTGCCAGGGAAGTCCCGAAAATTGTATTTGAAGCTGTGCTTTCTTGAAATGTTAACTGCTGGGAATAACTGCAAGGGCATTTGGGGGTGGGGGGAAATGTGTTATGACAAGTGAAAAATTGCTTAAATGAACTTTCAAAATGCTCTACTTTTGAAGGCCCTAGCAACAGGCCACCTCCCAGAGGTGAAGGCAGGAGCTTTCCCTCGCCAGCTCCAAACAAACCTCAGCTACCATCCCCTTCGGAAGGAGAGGTAATATAAAGCATATGTTCGTATTTTATTTCTACCCCAGTAAATGAATCATCAGAAACTCCCACTGAATACTCTCTTGTTCTTTTATCTTTTATTAGTCTTAATTTTTTTAGTGAAAAAAATCAAGAGGAGGACTCAGATGAAAAATAATATGTTCTTTTTTCCTTGGTGTTCCTCTTCCAGTGGCAAATGTGTGTTTTGCATTAAACAATGAGAAAAATAATTCCTGTTTTTCATCTGTTTCTTGGTTTATGACATTGCATAAGTCACTTAACTGCTCATTAACCTAGTTTTTTTCATTAAATATATTATTATACTACACTGAAGAAATTATTACATTTATATCATTCCTGATTAGAGGCTTCATTATATATGAAATGCTTATTGACTGCTACCTTTGCAACTAGTGTCATGAAAAAAAGCAGTTCACACAAAATATCTTCTATTTATCCTCACCTGAATGATTCTATATTCAAATTAAAATAAATGCTTCAAACTTCATGGAACTGAGGTGGTGATTTATGGTAATGATTACTTGGAGGCCTTTCTTTTCACTTACATATGTAACTGCAAAATTTATACCATTTTAAAAAATTTACATTTTCAGAATTCATTAAATGAAGACTGGTATGTTTCGTATATTACCCGAATAGAGGCAGAAGCGGCTCTTAGAAAGATAAACCAGGTACTGTGCTAAAGTTTATTTTTTAAGTAGTTATAAATATTAATGGGAGAAAAGAAATGGAACTGACTTTTACCGAGTACCAATTATGGGCTAGGAATTCTGCTGGGTGCCATCCATGCTGTTATACCAAGGGGGCCAATTAGTGCCAGCTTTCTACCTACCAGTGTCCTACCAGACTCTTAGGACCCTGGGAAAAAAATCTAAATTAAGGTAGTCATTTGGCTTAGGAGAATCCTAGGAGATTTTATTAACTAAAATGGTCCATCTTTTCACAGGAATCACATAGCATCAAAGGGAGACTTTCCCCCAAATTTCCAATGTCTTATCGGTTCCATCTTCCTCTTGATACACAGTTGCCATCCATATCAATGTGAAGGGACCCGTATTGAGAGAGACAACAGCAATTTTTTGTCCTTTCCCCTAGAAATTTCTAGCTGTCATTTAATATGAAAGATCTTAAACCAGATTTCCTGTCTTCCAGGGCCGAACATTAACCTTAAATCTATATATCAGAGACAGGAAAGCAAAGATCCTTCCTCTTTCACACCTTTCACATCTCGAGACTGCAACAGTAGTTCTCAAGCTTGGCTGCACACTTAAATCACCTGGGGAGCCTTAAAAAATTCTGATTCTGGTCTCACTTGGAGAGATTCTAATTTAATTAGTCAGGGGTGCTGTGTGGGCTCTGGAAGTCTTCAAAACTTGAAGTTCTAAAGTGAAGCCCCGGGCTACGAATTGCTGGTCCACACGTATTTTTGTTCAACAGAGATGTTCCAACTAGAATTTACTCAATCAACCTGGAATAAAAAGAACAAAGGAAAGCCATTATTGCAGATTGATGGCTATTTAGAACTATCCTGATTCAATCCACAGAGGAGGGAGTAATTTAAATGAGTCCTTCCTAATTCATTTTATTTTAACATTAGATCTATTAATCTAATAATACTATATTATATATATATAGTATTATATATATTATATATTATATAATATATATATATTAATCTAATAATACTATAAGTATTAATAGTATGTAGCTAATTTATGGAATGAAATTTTAAAGTACAGGACAAATCACAATACTATTTTGGTAGATATCAGGAAAAAAAGGGAGATAAGAACACAGATTGTCCACACTGGATTTTGTTCAGGTGTTTGATGATGAAACACTGTACCTGGATACCATGAGGTTTTAAAATGGGTAAATTTCTTAGGAATTTGGGTGTTTTCTGACTTTGACTATGGAAAGAAAGAGTTAGGGAAATAGCTCTCAGCAGTAGGAAGATATATCTTTAGTTAACCAATAAAGTCCTTATTTTGCTGGCCCTTTATCCACTCAACCATCTATCATTTGTTTTATTACTGAAAAAGAGATTCCCTTTTCATCAAGAGACTTCAAAGAGGTCTCTTTGAAATTTGGAAATTTCTCTAACATAATCTCTGCTGCCCCTTTCTTGACAACCAAGAAATCCATGCCACATGGGACTGCAGCTGTTTGGGGAACTAAATGTTCACTGAATTGTCAACTGGTAGGTTCCCAGATCCCTAGGGGCTTGTCTACTGCTCTCACAGGCAACAGGAGTATTGACTTTTGCTGCTCCCATAATAACAAGAATTTATCCTTTTAGGATGGCACTTTCCTGGTTAGAGACAGCTCTAGAAAAACAATAACCAATCCATACGTCCTCATGGTGTTATACAAAGATAAAGTTTACAACATCCAGATCCGTTATCAGGAGGAAAGCCAAGTTTACTTGTTGGGAACTGGACTCCGAGGGAAAG